CAAGTTCATATAGGCAGACCACCAGTCCATGAATGTGGGACACAGGTTTTGATGATGAAAATAATCAAATACATGGAGCCTAGTTCCAGAGGTGAAATTTAGCTGGAATTCTATGATTACCATGGGGTGTCCATACTGGTTTCAATCTGATTTATCCCTTTTACAATGACAGAGGACTATTTAACTATTTTGCCCGTCTCGTATCTCCACGATCATTTTGATTCTCGACTCATAGTACCGAATCATGTAGATGCAGATTATTTTCAGAAAACTAACTTAAGTTGCTGAAATTGAGGGTGATCTGTCTTGCTGAAGTTCTGCCACATTAATGCGAGAACCTGTACGAAATTTAACATGTTCACATGCCCATTTGTTGTTAGATTGGCAACATTATTGCTGCTGTCTCAGTTTTCGTGTAGCTGTTCAAGTGCCAGTACTCTAAACAAAAGGATTGGCGCTGACTTCTGTGGGCAACGAAACCATCTCCAGAGGGACAGTGTGGAGGGGAGGATGAATGGAACATTTTTGTGAACACAAGGCACCTAAAGAAAGGATCAAATTGCTATTCAAGAACTTTTGTTCAAGTGGATTTCAGGAACAGGGTGATTACATTCTTTTCTGAAGCCCATTTACTGACATCTCATTTATGAAATTTTCTCAATTGTCTAAGTATCCTCCATCTATGGTTGCGGATTCAAGGGCTAGGATGAATAAGTTTGTGATGGGTATATCCGATATGGTGGTGAAAGAGTGTCGTACCACCATGCTCATTGGTGACATGGACATCTCTCGTCTCATGGTCCATGCACAACAAATTGAGGAGGAGAAACTCAAGGAAAAGAATAGGGAGGTGAAAAGAGCTAGGACCGGTGATGGGAACTTCTCCAATAGTGACCTGGATCTTTCAATGGCTCCTCCTGTCCATGCACAATCTTAACGTTTGGCTCCATAGGAGTATCAACTGGTCTGCAATTTAACATGCTAGTGTCTTCCAATGTCAAAAGCATATTTCCTATTTGAAATTGAAATTCCACAGCTGCATTGGGCCACTTCAATTCCTAGGAAGTATTTTAGTTTACAGAAATCTTTTTTCCGAAAGTGACTGCTAAGATGCTGCATAAGATGAATAACGCCTTCATGATCATCATCTATTATAACAATGTCATCCACAAAAACAATGAAGAATGTGTTTGCCATTATGAGAATGTTTATAGAACACTGAGTGGTCAGCTTCACTTCAAAGCATGTCAAACTGTTGGAGAACTGTTCTAAAACGGCCTGACATGCCCTTGGTGATTGGTTAGACCATAAAGAGATCTATGAAATTGACAATAATCCAGATCCTCCCTAAGCGACAAATCTTGGTGGTTGCTCCATCAAGGAAAGAATTCTTGATATCCAACTGATAGAAGGGGCAATGAAACATTGCCATGGAATAAGGCCGTGAACAAATACAATCTTCGCTAATGGAAAAAAGGTATCATCATAATTAAGATCATAAATCTAAGAATATCCTTCGCTACTAATCTAGCTTTGAGACGAAACCTTTCCATCAGCACCCATCTTCATTGTAAATACCTAGTGACATTCAATTGTTCTTTTGTCCCGGTGGTAAAGGAACTATCTCCCAAGTTCCATTATCATGAAGAACACTCATTTCCTCCACCATAGCCTTCTTAGCTTTAGTATTTCTTGGTGATCCTTAAAGGAGAGTGAAGAGCTTGCATTTTATTTTATTTTTTGCATAAACTTGGCTACTTTGTTAAGTTTTATCTCGTTAGAAATTGAAATAGAGACTGAAAATGATATCTATTGTTTGTTGTTCATCCACATTTGGATCTCTGCTTTCTTAGATATGAATTGACGTATCACGACATGCTTTTAGATTTTATGATACTGTTTATAGTCGAAGAGACAGACTATTTTGGGTGGAGTAATTCCTGATTTCTTACGTCTTTCCCCTTGATTTGGTGATTTTTCTTTTAACCCATGCCCAAATCCTTCCTCCCAGGGGAAACCTTTGTTCGCCTCTCTACTTCGTTAGATTAATGGTGAGGTGGAGGGCCTCCCTTCATTCCAGATTCCGGTATATGTTAAGGTTTAATGCAGATAACTTTCCTTGGTCAGAAACCTGTTCCTATATTTGCATTGATTCCATTGATTGTGAGACACAGGTTTTGATGATGAACAGGATTCGATACTTCGAGCCTATAGCTAGGGTGAAGTTTAGATGAATTCTCTGATTACAACTCTTTCCATGTTGTATGAGTCTTTGCAATGGGGTACTGGTTTTAGTCTGATGATCTCCCTTCAGCAATTCCTTGTGCAGAATGTTAAATATTTACTCAATTTATCTGCACATTCATTTTAATTCTTGAGTTTACTAATTTTTTTAAGGTAAGCAAGCAAGGTTTTTGAGTTTAGTACTAAATCAAGCAGATGCTGTCTTTTTGTCAACCAGCTTGCACTGAATATATAGTTAGACTGAACGGCCACACTCTCCTTGGTTCACGTTTCCATTTGATGTTAGATTCACGCTTGTCACGTCTCTTTTCTGGTTCAAGTTCAGTAAAAACTTTTTGAAAAAAAAGGACTGATGGTTCGGCTTTATGACTTTATGTTCAATATTGTGGGAAAACCTAGTTAATTACGATAAGGTAAGTTGTGCATTGTAGACTCCAGAATAGTTCATGAGATTGTGATGTCTTTTGATATCAAAGGCAACAGGGAGATTGTAGTACCTACCTGTTTTCTTTTGAAAATACTTTTTATGAAACCAATATGATATTGTGGGGGGGGGGGGGGGGGGGGGGTAACACCACTTGTTGTACAAAAAATATTTTTCTCCTCTTCTCTGCTTTGTCTCTTATGGGATTTACCTTATCTTCTTTTAGTTCCTTGTTGAATCTTTCCAAATATTGCTCAAGTTAGTTTTGCCAGCAAGGATAGTCTATTTATGCAAAGGTTTAGGAGTTTCTTTTTCCAGTTTTTGAAGTGGGATTGGATATCATTGTTGTTTTATCTCCTTCTTGATTTTCTGAGGGAAAGAAACTAATTGAGTTATACTTTTGTTGAGTGACCTGAGTCTATGTTTAGATTTCACAATTTCCCTTTTTATTTGGTGTTATTGGATTTAGTATTGAGAATTCAAATGCAATTCTATATGATCGGTTTTGACTTTTCATTTTGAGATTTCTCTTCCTCATTTACCTTTAGATTTTTATTCTTTTATCTTGTTTATATTTGGTTCCGATGTGTTGAATTCACTGTTCTTATATTGGTTATAAATTGAAATCAATGCTCTTTCAGTGTCAAAATGATTTTCTATTTCCCGAGTCAAAGAAAGTGATTTTTGGCTAAAAAATTAACAAAATTATTTGTACTTTTTATATGAGACAAATCAAATTATAGTACTTCCGCGTTGATTTCTCTTTATTTAAATGTTATCTATAGAAAATTGTATTGTGCTGTCATTTGATCTTGTGAGATACCATTCTCCAAATACACTACTTATCATAACAATGAATAGTCCTCTAGAAAATCATGATTCCTTTGAAATGCTTGTTTAAACTCTGTTAAATGAAGACCGTTTAAATATTCAACATGAGACGTAGTATTTTGTTTCTTTGTGATTTTTAAAGAAGGGTAGAAAGCTTGCATTTTGTCCCCACAGTCCTGGCTGTTTTGTCAAGTTTCATGGCTTTTAAGGAAAAGAAGACTTGGTAACTCTTTTTTTGGTCTGTTTGTCCATCTCACATTTGGCTGTCAACTATCTTAGATATGACATCTATAGCATGACCTGTTTTTTTGATTTTATGTTCCTGCTGTTTACAATATACATTATTGGGTGGAAGAGTTTCTTTCTGCATGATTCCTTATTTAGTGGCTACTTGAGAGTTCATGCTAGGTTTTGGATTGTTTTTGTAAAGATATGACAATCACCAAGTTCATATAGGCAGACTACCAGTCCATGAATGTGGGACACAGGTTTTGATGATGAAAATAATCAAATACATGGAGCCTAGTTCCAGAGGTGAAATTTAGCTGGAATTCTATGATTACCATGGGGTGTCCATACTGGTTTCAGTCTGATTTATCCCTTTTACAATGACACAGATATTTTGCCAGCCTCGTATCTCCACGATCATTTTGATTCTCGACTCTTGTACTTGGTTTTAAGTATATTTTGTACTGAATCATGTAGATGCAGATTATTTTCAGAAAACGAACTTAAGTTGCTGAAATTGAGGGTGATCTGTCTTGCTGAAGTTCTGCCACATTAATGCGAGAACCTGTAGGAAAATTAACGTGTTCACATGCCCATTTGTTGTTAGATTGGCAACATTATTGCTGCTGTCGCAGTTTTCGTGTTCCAGTTCAAGTGCCAGTAAAGGCCTCTAAACAAAAGGATTGGCGCTGACTTCTGTGGGCAACGAAACCATCTCCAGAGAGACAGTGTGGAGGGGAGGATGAATGGAACATTTTTGTGAACACAAGGCACCTAAAGAAAGGATCAAATTGCCATTCAAGAACTTTTGTTCAAGTGGATTTCAGGAACAGAGTGATCAGATTCTTTTCTGAAGCCCATTTATGAAATTTTCTCTCTCCATATATATGATAGCAACACATTCTACTGTATATAATCCTACCGTGACTCAGATTGAGAAGCATGCCTAGAGACTAGGAGGTCTGTTACTGGATACCCTAGTAAATCTCGGAGGAGCACTGATCTCTTGGAAGTCAAAGAAGCAAGAAACAGTTTCTAAAAGCTCAGCTGAAGCAAAGTTTAGATATATGTCAAATTGTGCAGCAGAGATCACTTGACTAGTGGGCTATTCAAAGAACTTGGAGTTAAGATTGAGTTACATGTGAAGATGATGTGTGACAGTAAGGCTGCAATCCAAATTACAACAAATCCTATATTCCATGAAATGACTGAATATATAGACATGGATTGTCATTTTGTAAGGGAGAAAATACGGTAGTAATATTAATATATGATAGCAACACATTCTACTTTAATTTATGGTAATAGTGCAAATGCATGTAGACATGCTTATTACTTGGTACAGTTTGCTTGGCAAATTCATTTCTTCTTGAAGAGGAAATGTGCAACCATCCATTCTTCTCCATTGTTGTACCCAAACAGTTCAGCAACTGAAAGGAAAAACGTTCTCCAGTAGACAGTCCACTTAACGGCTGAATCCTTCCCATAAGTTGACTCCATTATTGGCTTTATGGAACTCTTGTTCTCATCCATTCTCTTAAGCCATTCTTCACTGAAAACGGAGTTAAAGCTTATTACCAATACATGTTTCATAATTCTAAAAATATTCAAACAAGTTAAGTTCACCTTGTCTGTGCATAGTGTTTTCCATTAACCAGCCAATGATTAACCACAGAAACATCATCCTGCAACCAAGCATCATCATAATAATTATCAATCCAAATATTTTATTTTTATTAGAGATGGATTCTTTGCAAACTACATCATGGAGCTCACCTGAAAATAAAGGAGGAGATTGGCAGAAGGCATTGTACCTCCACTGAAGAAGTACCTAGTGATCCAATCATCATCATTCACATCCTGCACAACCACGCTTGTAATTGAAGCAGAGGAAATACTCATGCATTGATCAGCTAGCAGATCGACGTACCTCAAAGTGGTAAGCAAATGCTTTATGGCAAAAATAATGAACAAAAAGAAGACTATCTGCCTTCATCCATCTTGACATCTTCTTCAGGAGATCTCCATAGTTCTTCATATGCTATAAATATATAAGTTTATTAGCTGTCGTCTTAACTCTAAATTGTAACAAACACACTCATCGCAGCACTCAATACCTCAAACATTTCAATAGACAATATTCTATCATAGGATTCTTCCATCTCGAATGTGCTAATATCTGCAACTATGATCTCCAAATTCTGCAGCTGAAGCTCCCTAAGCACATAAACCAGAGGAGAGCAATAAAAAAGGTGTACATATATATATCCTAGGTCGTCTAGTATCGAAAGAAATTATTACCGGCACTGCTCATCTATGTGTGCTTTTTGGGTGACTGAATTGCAAATACCGGTAACTTTACAGGAACTATATTTTTGTGCTATATATAGAGAAAGGGAGCCCCAGCCACAACCAACATCAAGTACAGTGTGTCCATCTTTCAACTGTGACCTTTCACAATATAATTCCATCATTGCTTTTTCAGCATCCTCTAAAGTGCTCAACTTGTGTTTGAAGTAACAGCAGCTGTATTAACATGTCATACAATAAGCCATCTTGTAAGACCATCACAATAGATTAACTTACTCTCTGATAGCTTAGAAGTGCAATATACATGAATGACACATCACAATATAATGAGAATATATATAGTTACCTGTATTTGAGGTGTTTTCCAAGAACAATCTTGAAGAAAGAGGTAGGGAGCTCATAATGTTGGGACTTTGGCTTCTCAGTCATCACAGCTATAGGCATCTCTTTTAAAGCTATGTAAAAGAAGCAAAGCCAGACAGTCAAGATACTTTAAAGGATGAGGCATGAATATATCCTTATTAGAACACAGCATATATACTATTCTAGAAGCGACACGCACTTTGTTCTGTTGTCTAAGGTATACCAGCATTTACGTGTACATACTTGCATTGTTGATCTGAAAATTGGGAATGATGGTTGTACATTCTATGCTGACATTCTTCCTAATTTTTGTGTCTCAAGACTACAGAATAATAGATAAAGCAATGAACATATATATTAACGGGAGTCAAAAACTTTACCACTTCACTACTATGTGTCATATGAACCCACTTTAGTTCAGATGAGCCGAAACCTACTATTATCTGATGTTTTTCAAATATCTACTGTTATTCCTCTCTTCTTAAGTTGGATGTACCATGATTGTGTGGTAAGTCTCACAGAACTAAGCTCCAAACGTGAGCCTCGAGGCATTTTTCCAGTGCCCCTCCTTGAGGCGAGTCACAAAACTACCTTTTTAAAACACTGAATCACATTATACCATGATTCAAAAGTACTCATGTGATGCTATCATGATTCAACAATAATCCCAGTATACTACACAATATATCAATATCCATTATTAGTGTATTCTGAATATCACTTAACATACAAGCAATCACATTAAACCGTGATTCAACACTATTCATGGAATAACTCAAAGTATACCCATAAGTATATTCTGAATATCATTTTACATACAAGGTATCATGGGATACTATCATGATTCAATAATAATCATGTGCTATTTTTACAATTTTGCTATCATTATGAACATTCTGTGACAATATATCTTTTGTTAGTTTATGTGATTTGAAGAACTTTATGTTTTTATATGAATAAATGTAAGCTAGTTTTATACTTTTACTTGAACCAGTTCTGGAAATGTGCACTGCACGTTTATTCCAAAATATTTCATGTAAATTTTGTATTGCAAATAACACAAGCATTACTATGTACGGTATTTTCTTTTTTGTGAAAGGCAAACATACATAACCATTCATATTTCCAATTGGAAGATGAATAAAACAAAAAAAATCACCAACTTACTCCAACATGAAATTAATACAAAGAATAAATATTCAAGATACTTTATGGTGGTTGATTCATGTACTAATATTATAGTTTACAATTTTATATTTAATTTGTTAAATAATTTACAACATTTAATTCAATGCAAGGATAAAATAGTAATCTAACATTTGCCTAAAATTCTCCCCAATATATATATATATATATATATATATATATATATATATATATATATATATAATGATGATGATTAGCTAATGCTATTTTAAATCTGCTATAGAAAATGTGAAACCTCACCACAGAACTGGGGAAACAAAGTTGGGCATCGTGCTTCGATCTCAGTATATAAATAGAATTAGAGAAAAGATGCGTACAGTGCACAAATTGGAGAAGATCAGAGAGTTGTAGCTCAGAGGATGGTTTGTAACCGGAGCGAAGTCGGGCGGCTAAGAGCAGTCGAATGAGCCGCCGTATAACAGTGTCCGGCAAGAGGTTGCGCTCTAGAGAACCCAGCATCACCCGTACCGTAGCATCGTAAGGCAGCTGTACTATCGCATCCATTTTTTTGATTCGCGAGAAGGAAGAATGGTACGGACGTTTTCTTTTATCTTCTCTCTTTGGAGTTTATCTACAAGTTATGGGCAGTTACAGCTCACCTTTTTTTTTCTATCCTAAACGGAAAATTCTTAAGTTTCCGTTCTTTTCCATTTTTGTCTCTTTACATTATTCCTTAAGAAATACTAATAAACTAGTAAGATTTCCCGCTAGAAAATTTAATATCATTGAATTTATAAAATAATATTTAAAATATATTAGTCATTAAAACTAAAATACTATATTATTTTACGTACAAGGTTACGTAGTAACGAACATTAATAATGTAAAGGAAAATGAAAATGATAACATCTTATCATTTATCATTCAATCAATCATCTTTAATTTGATTTTATAATTTATCATTTTACCTCCAGGAAGTGTTATTATTTGATATTTGGGAAATTAGATGAACACGAACATGAGATATTACATTTTTTGATAAATAATTAATCTTTATATGTACTAACAAATACTTATAACAATAATTTTACTGAAACATAAATAACAAAGTTTAAAACATGTACTCAAAAACAACAATTAATATCATAAACATAAATTAATGAATGTAAAAAAATATATCAGGGTCTATAACAATAGAATGAAATTGAAAGGAAAAAATTGAGCATGTCCCTTAAGGAAATCATTCCCATCTAGTACCTGAGGTTTAAAGAAATAGATCATCTCAGGATGAAACGATTCTATTCACAAATGTATTGATACAAAAACAATGGTGTCAATGAGCCACTCAACATGAGAAAAGTATACGAATATTTAATTGTGCAGAAGATGAAGAAGTTCAGAATTTTCATTATTTTAAAATGAGATGAAATCCCTCTATTTATAGACAACAAAGGTAACCCTGAGGGGTAGCTCAGCTGGTAAAGGCCTGGGACAAAGTCCTTCAGGTCGCCGGTTCGAGCCCCAGCAGGGCCACTGGAGGCATTACAAACCGGCCGCGTCTCCAGGGCCCCGTGGAACTAACCGTGGTGGACCCGCCTTGAAACAGCGGGACCCGGTGGGTACAGCTAGTCGGGTTCGCAAAGCGACGCCCGGAAACCACGGTAAAAAAAAAAAAAAAAAAAAAAATATAGACAACAAAGGGTAGTGTGAACAAATTCTTATTGTGCCTTATCGGAAATGTCACAACTCTTCGGAAAAGTCACAGCCATTCAGAAAGGTTACAACCATTCATAAAAGTCACAATTTTTCATAAAAGTCGCATCTCTTATAAAAGTCGCAACTCTTCATAAAAGTCACAACTATTCATAAAAGTCACAATTTTTCATAAAAGTCACATCTTTTCATGAAAGTGGAATGCTAATTTTGAAAATAAATAAATTTAAAAGGAAATTCTAGCTTGTGGTAGCGCCATGTAGACGGGCCTAGGGTTCTCTTTTATATAAATATATGATAATTAATATAATATTATTATATTATATATCGTTTGACTTTATTAAATTTAATGTTTTGAAAAATGTGTTAGATGATCAAATACTATTTAATAGCAAGGATAAAATAGACACAAAAGGTAAGTTATCTCTTAATTTTATAAATTAGACAAGTATTGTTGAACAACTATTTTTAATATAGCGGATAACTATTGTTGGACGGAGGAAGTACTTCCTCTTGTCTCATTTTATTAGAGTTAGTTTGATTCGACATGTAATTTAAAAAAGAAAGAAAGACTTTTGAAATTTATGGTCTGAAATAATCGTAGTCTCATATAGAAATAGCACGATGGTAGTTAAATACATTAAAACAAAAGCCGCAAGACTTGGATTGTTAATGTCAGTTGAAGACACAACTGAATTACTAACCTACCGTGACTCAGATTGAGAAGCATGCGTAGAGACTAGGAGGTCTGTTACTGGATACCTAGTAAATCTCGGAGGAGCACTATCTCTTGGAAGTCAAAGAAGCAAGAAGCAGTTTAGCTGAAGCAAAGTTTAGATGTATGTCAAATTGTGCAGCAGGGATCACTTGACTAGTGGGCTATTCAAAGAACTTAGAGTAAAGATTGAATTACATGTGAAGATGATGTGTGACAGTAAGACTGCAATCCAAATTACAACAAATCCTATATTCCATGAAAAGACTAAATATATAGACATAGATTGTCATTTTGTAAGGGATAAAATATGTCAAGATATGCTAGACTGAGTTCATCCATACTAAAGATCAATTGGCTGACTTACTCACAAAGGTCTTGGTAAAGTTCAACATCAAGTTCTGCTAAACAAGACTAAAATTGCTAACCTATTCAAACCATGAGCTTAGGGGAGAGTGTTAACCAGAGTGTGAAGTTAACAAGCTACCATGGTCATTTTAGTCAGCATTGTTAGTTATTAGTCAGTTAGAGTTTAGTTAGAATCTAGAAGCTTCCTAACTTAGCCTATACATATAGCAGTTATATACATGTGCTAGGTGTGAGCTATATAAACACTTAATATTGTAACTAACTACATATTCAATATATGGTCATTTTCATGTTCAATTACTTCTTCTTCTACATAGCTTAAAGCACCATTATTGTAGTTATCAATTCTGATAGACACATGTAACCCATCACTAATTGTATGTCACTTATTTCAATTTATGATACATTGTATATTTCATGACATCAATCTCATACACGTATTTCAATTTTAGAAGTATGATGATACAAATGGGGGTAGGAAGAGAATGAGAATAAATATGGATGCAACAAAGATCCAAATCACCACCATCGATGAACGAAAAAATCTAAATCTTATATATTGTATTTCAATTTTAGAGGTATGATTCAATCAACAAGTTATACAGAGTAGAGAAGGAAGTATAAGAACATCACAGATCCAACAAATATTCAAATCACCACCCATCAATGAAGAAGAAAAATTTGAAAATATTCATGACCAAAACCTAGATCCAACGATTGCATAGCTCCATAGCCTTTGATTTCGGAGGTGGCGGTGGAGATAATTTTTAGTCGAAGATTTTCTCTCCAATCATGATTGCTAATCACAAGAACTAGATACAAGTCTTATTTGGAATTTTTTTTCCAATAAAATCCAAAAGATAGCTAGGAATGTAATTTTTTAAGTGTATTTACAAATTGTAACTATAGTAGATATATTTTCTAAGCCAAATATTTTTTTTTTCAAAAAATTAATACCTGCAAGGTAAAACACTTGATTTTTTTTTTTTTTTTTGTATAATTGCTTGTGGATCGTAGTATATGATTGAGACGTCTTGGGTAAGCTTTCATATAGTCGGTCCCGATATAGTCAGACCCATCTTGTTTGGACTAATGCATAATAGTTATAGTTTTTGTGTAGATTATTTACAAGATAATTACATACAAATATTTATGATAAGACAATTAATCTTTACACTGTTGGTATATGTAAGAAAAAAGACATAAAGTGACATCTGAAGTTGTCTCGAATTTTCAAACAGACACTTTAACTATCCGTGCGTCCTATTACCCCCTAAACAATTATGAAATGATATTATTATATCATTATTCGGCCAATCTTAGATTTGAAAAGGCAAGTTTTACCACGTACCAATCATTACATGACACGTGTTAATTTAATTTAAAATTATTTTTTTCATTTTAAGTTTTTCTTTTTTTTTCTCTCTTATTTTTTGATTTATTTTACTTTTATTACTTTTTAAAGTTCACTTCACCTTCCATCTCATCCCCCCCCCCCCCCTCCCCACTTTCAAGCTGACATCCTCCCTCTATTTTTTTTTCTTTCTTTCTTCTTCTTAGCTCTCACTCTCATCCTTTTCCACCCATATCAAGTTGTGTTCCTTCCCTTTTTTTTTCTTCTTCGATCAAATTTCATCCTTTCAATGATTTTTTTTTTAAATCGTATTATTTTCTAAACTTTGTTGAGTTAGTGATAACAAAACTAATTATTTTTTTAAGAAAATTCAAAATTTTGAAGGTATCATCAATTAATTTATCTTCTTTCATATAACTCTAAAATTAAAAATAATAATTTTGAAAGAATCAATGAATTCCCCAAAAATTGAAAGAGCTTGATTGAAATCGAATAAAAAGGTTAAATGATATCTCTTAATCATCTTGAAATCTAATGAATTTATCAAATTGTTCGAAATGTAAAAAACAAAAGTTAGATAAAGTTTTAAAATTGAAGAGACTTAAACTAATAGTAGTAAAAAAAAAATGGGGGGGGGGGGAGGGGGGAGGGGGGAGGGTGAAATTGTGATAAAATGGTGACATTGAAAGTGAGGAGTTTTAATGGAGATGGTAATGAATTTTTGAAGAAAAAAGAAGAAAGAAAGATGAAAATAACAAAGAAAAAAAATTTAAAATAATAAGAAAACAAGAAAGCATATTTTATAGCAAAATACTTATAAAAATAAAGTTATATTCATTGTTTTAGGTTGCTCACGTTCTTTAAAGAGAGTGCATGCATCTCTATGCCAGGTGAACAAAAAATGATGTAATAATATTAGTTCAAGATTGTATAGGGGGTAATAGGACGTCCACATAGTTAAGGTGTCTTTTTGAAAATTTGAGACAACTTCAAGTGTCACTTTATGTCTTTTCTCTATATGTAATTCAAATCCATAGTTTAAAAACATTCGAATTCTAGCTATGAATATAATTCCAACGATTGCATAGCTCCATAGGTCCAAAAATCAGCTCAATCGAACAAGAAACGAAGCGGGAAACACGATTTGAAATTGACTACTAGAGTTTGTGCGAAACACTCTCACTTTTCTCTCAATCTGGCTTCTGATCTATTTCTCGTGATTCTTCAAAACAAGACATAAGAGAAAGTCTTACATATGCACCATAATATTGAGTTTATGGGCAAATGGGCTAGTCCAAATTTGACTTAAATTTATCCACAATGAAAAGGAAGGAGACCCAAAACCTTGAACTTTTATTTATTCACATAGGAAGGAAAAAAGACAAAAACCCAACAATAATTGGGTTCCAAAGATGA